ATTATCCATATCCCTAGAAGATTTAATGACACTAGGTTCAGTCCTCATAGTCAGAGGTGTTTGAATCCCCTTTGTATTCTTTTAATTTGAAGACACTTAATTTATTATTATTATATGTACTATAAAATAAATGCAGCAAACATTATTTTAGTAGTGATTCTTCAAATGTCCTGTAGCAGGCAAGTGGTAGCCTCAAACAAAATGAATTATCTTAGCATTAAAAAGGTTAAAATAACCAATCATAACTTTTAAATTCAGTGGGGTTGAAGGTCAAAAGTGAGTAATAGATTTTAACTTACAGAAGATCCATCACACAAACATATTCTCCATTGCAATCAAGATGTAGTGATTAAATTCTTCAAAAGGAAAAAACCCCTCATAAATGTGAGTTGCCAGCAGAAAAAAGGATGCTAAGCGTTACATTGCAAAGACCAGCTCAAATTCTGACAGTAGCAATGCCAGCAATCAAGATGGTCTACAGCAGGGGTCTCCAACCCCTGGTCCGTGGGGTTCCTGGAACTGGGCCGCAGAGATGGATCTTCACCCCGTCACACACAAGCACGGTGAGCACAACACGCCCCTCCATGAGTACAACACACCCACCCATAAGCATGATGGGCCCAACCACAAGCACACGGGTACCCCTGTCCCCTGCACATGGAGCCCGCCCCCCAACTGGTCAGCAGTCCGAAAAAGGTTGGGGACCACTGGTCTACAGGACTCCTTCTTGTGCTCATTCAGAAAGAGACAAACAAGGGAAAATTCCAGAATTTGGTTTCCTTTTTTCATCAGTAAGCCACGTCTACTCCTCTCTCTCTCTCTCTTTTCTCACTGGAGCTTCTCCCATTCTCTCTTTTATCTCTCTCTATGCCCCCCCACACACACACACTAGGCATAAGAGCTGATGTATGCCAAGTATTATTAATAGTTTGTTGGTCTCCACCTCAGTTTTCTCCTAAGATGCAATGGCTGGATAGAAATTGTACTGCTGCATCTAAAATGATATTCAGTGCAACTTACTTATGGAACAACTCTGCCCACAAGACAATAAATGTTGCAGTTTCTACTCTACTTGACTTAGAATTCATCCTTCCCTCACATCCTTGTGCTTGCAATAGTCCAGTGGTGGCGAAGCTTTTTGGGCTCGCATGCCCAAAATGGGGAGGGCAGCGGGTGGCATGCTGCCGCCACAGTAGCGACGGACCTGGACCCAGAAGACTTGAACTGGAAGGGGCAGTTTAAGGGGGAACCATGGCGATGGACGTGGAGGACCTGGAACCAGAAGTGGCAGTTTTCGGCGACGGACCTGGACCCAGAAGACCTGAACAGGAAGGGGCAGATTAAGGGGGAACCATGGCGATGGACCTGGAGGACCTGGAACCAGAAGTGGCAGTTTAAGGGGGAATCATGCCAACAGACCCGGAACCAGAAGTGGTGGTTTAAGGCGGAATCATGCCGACGGACCCGGAAGTGGTGGTGGAAGGGGGAATCCCAGCTGCAGCTGCTTCATGAGGTTTGGCTGCGCAGGGGGGCAGGGGGAGTAGCGACCTATGGCTCGCGTGCCAGAAGAAAGGGCTCTGATTGCCAGTTGTGGCACGCGTGCCATAGGTTCACCAGTTGTGGCACGTGTGCCATAGGTGCCATCACTGCAATAGTCTGTTCCATTTAGGAGACAATAAGGTTAAATAGTTTCGTGAAATAAGGTATGGAAGTCCCAACGTTGGATCTCCCCTCTTTGTGTAAGTGTGGTCACATTTAAGTTACCTACAGGTCAATAGATGGCCAAGTAGGATTCAGCATCTTGACTCTCTTGTTTTTTGGGCAAACACACAATTGATTTCTAGGTCCATTGAACCAATGTGTTTGGTAAATCACCTCCCCATAAGTTTCATTAATTCAATGGGCCTCCTCTAGCTCTAACGTACTATGCTAAACAACAGGATTTCAGACAGTTAAGTTAACAAATCTGCTGTTTAATAAGACTCCTGTGAAACAAATAGATACTAATCATGTAATTCTTTAAAAGGGGATCTTGGTGAACATTTAATATCTAGCTGTTAAGAAGATTCCTCTTGCATGTAACACTCTTATTTAGAAAGATTTATAGCAGCAGAATTACAAACAAAAGGTACTGAATATACCAAATCTAGTTATGGAAATCATTATTCAAGAAATAGAAAGACAATATTAGTTTACATTTGCACAAGACAATGGAGTCTTTGTACTGCTGGGATGCCAGGAAAGGGGGACTGAAAAGCCTACTGAAAGCCATTGCTGAGCTAAAAACACTGATTTTGCAAAGATAAAAACGCTTTCAGTAGCCTTTTAAAAAATAATATAAGCCTATAGTTGCCAAGCAGCCTTAAGTTTTTTGGGAAGGCAGTGTCAACAAAAGAGCGTTAATCCTGCAAGAGCTATCATTTTACACAGTCTGTGCTGTATTTCTAATGCTAAACAATAACCACATTTCATAATGAGAGGAAATTGGGTTGAAAGGGATGGGCATAAATTTAATCCTTGCTTCTCTTCCCTTTGTCTATTGCCTCTTTTATTTGTCTTAAAATATACAGAAAGAAAATAAACATAAGTGATTTGGGTTTCCTTTGTAATATGAGAAGGGCAAACTTTTATATTTAACTCATCCAAAACACAGATCAGTTATCTATACAGTAATGTTTGATTTCCTCTTCCCTTTTTATGTTACAATGGAAAAATGTGGGGAAAACCTAGGAGTAATTTACATAGGCAGGAGAATGCATTAATAATGTTGTAATAGGGCACAGTGAACTGTACCACTTCAGTCACGAAGACACTTCATTTGTAGTGAAGAAATCTAGCACATCAGAGATACAAGTTCTAGCCCAGAGCAAGCCTACAATACCACTTTCTCATTTCTAGGAAGACTTGTTTGTTACCTAAGGGAGAGTAACCTTAAAATGTGATCTCTTACACATGTTCTAGCATAGCACTGTATATTCTACCATCTTCTGCTGTTTAGATCCAGCTTCCCTGCTTCCTTCACCAGCATATTATATGAAGCTATCAAATACGGGCTTAAGTGCAATGAAAGCTAGTTATTTCATATTTTCCTTTACAGATCCTTCGCTGAAGTATCTTCCTTTATAGATGTATTTATTGGAAGGATTGTTCAAAACACAGAAACACTTTTAAATCAAGTGGTGCTTGTTTTTATATTCAAATTTCAGCAATTTATCTTGCCCGGATTAGTTGCATGGTGTTCCAGTAAAACTGGAATTCTCAGTTGTTGTTATGTTTTTTTTAAAGCAAAAGAATACCATTGGAATTGATATTCATGGAGCCATCTATAAAAACTCAGGTTTATTCTTTACTTATCAGTATTGGTTAGGAATGATTCCAACAGCCAACAATGTCTTCCAGGGCTTGGAAAAAACATATTTTTGGATTACAACTCGCAGAGTCCTCCAGGCTGCTTCGTCTCCATCCCTCTCCTAAACATGGTGTGGTGTCCACTACCTATTAGAGCTCAATCATCAGAGGCAATCTACAATGGAAGTGGAGCACCTAAACTCAAACTTGATCACATGTAACCCTTAGTCATAGAGACTCATTAAAGAAACACTTGTTACTCCTGGAGCTTAGTGGCTTGGTTATTTCTATTAAACCAAGTCTTGAGCAATAATAATAATAAGCAGACTGTTTCTTGGAGGAAAGGGCAACAGGTTTATGCAGGTAAAACAAGTGTGCACTTGGCTGCCCAGCAGCATGTGGATCCTGAGATCATCAGGGTTCGAGTTTTTATATAGTTAAAAAAATAGCAAAAGTATGCAGCAGTTGATTGGTCCTTGAGGAATATATGCATTGGTTACAATTTCTCACATTTCAGCAAAGAAATTACCCATGCGCAGAGCAGCTTATTTCTAAGGAATGCTGAATTTTGTTTCCTTGGAAGACACTAGATTCTCCATAGCAGTTTCTTCCTCCTCACACACTCTTAGCAATTGAGCTACTTAGCAGTTTAGAATACCTATATATTGAGCTACTTAACAGTTTAGTATATGTATAAATTTCACACATCAGGAGGATGATTACAGTAATCGCCTGAATGTCTAACAGATAGCCTGGCTGTTTTAAGCATAATTTCTAGTGGGGGAAATTACAGTAGTTGTACAGGAAAAGGCAGCTAGGTGGTGCACAAAGAAGCCTAGTTATCAGATGTATACAGTAACTATAAGCAATCATCAGTTGGGCTGTGCCTACAAGTTAGGTTTTGTAGCCATACCACATATACAAGTTGAGAAGCATGCTATGTCTCCAATCGGTTATTGAAAATGGGATTGTATCAACAGCTTAAATTTTATATTAAAATGTGTTTTAGTGGAGCAAATAGGGGGTGTGGGAAGATAAAAAAAAACACGAGTGTTTTAGTTTCTTTCACATCCCAGCACACCACACCATGAAACGGCTGCCCTCTCTGCCTCTCTGCCTCCGGGCAGGAAAGCTTCAGAAGCTGCACATGTTTTCTGTGGGAGGGGGGCGGTGGTTCCTGAATAAACGTCGTCCTGCGACGATTGCAGCAAAACCTCCAAAATGATCTGTCCTTGGTAGCGACAGGGGTGTCATTGTACTGCTTTCTTGCACCGGCCCTCTCTCCTTTAATAACGGGTCCTGAAGCCCTTCACACCTTCTGAAGAGCTGTGAGCCCCGGCCTAATTTTTAAAAAAAAAAGAGCGGGGGAAGAAAATGGGGAGTTAAATACAGCGGGTCCGTATCGGGACCGTGGCTGTGCAACGTGCAAGTCGGAGGGCGCACCAAGCGGCCGATAGGATGCTCTCTACGCAGGAGCGAAGCGGAGGAAGAGAAAAAAAAGGGGGCGGGACGAACGGAAGGGAAGCCCTTCCACCGGTTCCCTCCGCAGAATCGCACGATTGACACCGAGGGGCGGCGCCTCGGCGGCCCTCCTCAGCGCCGCACTAAGGATCCCCAGACACACGTGACCCCCCCTCCAAAGGGCGTGACTGCGCGCCCAGCCTCCCAGCCCCCCCTCCCCCTCTAAAGCAGGCTCGCGGATTCAGTCAAGCGGCGGCGGCGGTTGATGAGAGAATCGAGGCGCGACTCTCTCAGGAGCGGCGAGAGAAAAGGAAGGGGAAAGGAGAAGAAGGTGGAAGGGGAGTCGCTCCCTCAGCGCGGGGTGCGCGCGAGCCAAAACCAGCCGGCGCGCGGGCGGTGGTGCTCGCGCGCAGGAGCTCCTCTTGGCGCCTAAAGTCGTCTTTATTTCCCACTCACCCACCCCCTCTCCGCTCCACCACCACCACCTCTTCCAGCATCTTGTGGCTCCGGCCCAGCCCTTTTCCGGAGGTGGAGGGTCCGGGGACGGTGGGAGGGCCCCTGGAAGAGCGAGGTAAGAGAGAGAGAGAGAAAAGGGGGGGCGTCTCGGGGTGTGTGAGAATCTATTCATGGCCCTGGCTGAGCAGGGAGAGGGCTGCCCGAGTCGCAGACCCTTGTCCTACGGCGCGGTGAGGGTGCGAGGCGGCGGGACAGGCGGGGAACCGTCGCCCGTCCGAGGGGAGCCTCGGCGGAGGGTTCCCTCTAATTGTCGGGCGCTGGGTGGTGTGACCTTGGGTACCTCATAGCGTTGGCAATAACTATCAAAGCGACGAAGACTGTTTGCGCTGCTGCCACTCCAGTATACAGTATTGCAAAGTTGGATACGGTCGTGCCCCATTTTGGTGCCTGTGACTGAAATGTGTAGCACCCGAGAGCTGTGTTTCTAATTCTGCTTCCTTTTCTTACCTATTCACGTGGGGGGTAGGGTGGGGTGGGGCTCCCTCTCTGTGAGGATGTCGGAGGGGAACCGTGTTGAGGGGGGTTCGCTGAGATTAATGCACTAAAAGTCCAGATTAATGTCTCATTCTTGAATTTGTGTTGATCTGTATATTCCGTACTTGAATTTGTAGCATACTTCAACCTGTAACATTTTAATATTTGCCTTTTAACAAATCTTTTCAGTTTTATGAGGCTTCATTTAAAAAAGATGGGCAGGCAGTGGTTTTCTGTCAGCATTTTTCCAGCTGTAGTACAGGAATACTAGCTTTCCTGCCCTTTGCAGA